CAACAACAACAACAACAACAACAACAACAACAACAACAACAACAACAACAACACCACCATCACCAACAACAACAACAACCACCACAACAACAACGACAACAACGTCAACAACAACAACAACAACGACAACAACAACAACAACAACAACAACAACAACAACAACAACAACATCAACTGAAAACACCACCGCGACAACAACATCATCATCATCATCATCATCATCATCATCATCATCATCATCATCATCATCATCATCATCATCATCATGACCATTGTCCCCTTTTCCCTGCCACCACTGCTTAACGTCTACTCACTTTTGTCCACATTATCAGAGCGTCCGTCCGTCATGACAATGACAACTTTGGCGGCGTCGTCCCGTCCTCCATTTTCCGAGTCAAACATTCCGTCACCGACCAGGTTCAGGGCAATGTCTGTGTCCGTTGTGGACGCCATGTAAAACGCCCCTTTGATGGCCTGCACAAGAATAGTTTGGCGCATACTTTGTTTGTGTGACGGTACAGAAAACAACAACCTAATAAACAAAAACAACAACCCAAAAAAAAAACCAAATAGAAAATTTAGTGATGAATAGCAAGCCAGAGTGGATAAGTAGATCAGAGAAATATATGGGTATTTTTAGAAAGATTGCTGATTTCTTTTTGTTGAAAACTCAGCAAATCAAGTTAAATTAATACAGAACATTATTCAGAACTTTGGAAGGCTCTCAATGCATAACCAGCTTAACCAACTGGCTATGGAAAACATTTTATATCTTTTGAGGGTACCCATAAGGAGAAATCTGGATTTAAATCAGTTTTCAGTGGCTTGCTTTTGGCATTATGTTCCTATCGTAGGTTTAAACTTAAATTGCCCGCCCAATATAATCGAGCCCCTACACGCACAATTAGGGAGTTCATGTCCAGTAGAAAATGCCTCATTGTTTGAGGTAGATGCTAAACTGACAAACGTAACAGCTCTTTCTAAGTGGGAGGCAACTGCACTGGTAGGAAATATACCGTACAAAAATGACTTGTTTATAACATGTCGTACCCACACGGAGGTCGAGAGAGAGAGAGAGAGAGAGAGAGA